TGCAAGACCAAGACTAAGACTCGTCTTGGCCTTGCATTTAGGGTAATCAGAATCCAACTATTCTATCTGTAGTTTGGTAGATGTCCACTTTTGAAACAAACATACCCTTCAGGTGTACGCTTTTTAAACAAACTGTTAAATTAAGGATAAATTTAACATACTTTTTTTTTAATATAAAGCGATTTCGCCATTTAATATCGAGAAAAATGCTTTAAGAATCAATTAATAACTCAATTTCGAAATAGGTGTCACATGTCTGCCTTTGACAAGAGGTCATTCATTTGTTCATCAATTATAATAAGCGAATTATTCGTACGGGCCAACCAGCTATAGATTAATTTCTTTTTTAATAGTTACAAAGCCTTATTGATTTATTTCTAGATTGACTTCTTTTGATCACTTGTCTATATGGAAGAATATAAAACATATCTGAGGGTATGACAACTATTCGACAAGTACAACGTTCGTGCCCGCATGTTGGTAATTCCGAAATCAATAGGACCAATGCCGTTGACTTATGTTATGCACTTCCTCAAGTCCTTCGTCAAGAACCATGAGAGATACTTGATGTTCATTAAAAATAATTTGATTGTACTTCCACTTCCATAGAACCGATTTCCTAACTGTCTTTTAAGAATATCCACGATATGAAGAAGGCAATGACGTTAAAGCGGGAAAGGAATTTTCAAAGCTTCATTATTTCTCTAAAGCAGACATCATTAAACTTTTTTTATTATTATTTTTTTTTATTGATGATATTTACAACTATATTACAAGTAAAAATACATTCAGTAAATGTGAACAAAATAATATAATAACATGAAATCACTTGTTGAGAGACTACCCACTGGTAGCACTCTAAAAATGTATTTACAAAAGGAGATCTCGAGGCCATCTTCTTTTCAGACGCCTCTGAGGGTTGTCAGGGATCGAAGAGGAAGCAAGCAGAGAAACGAGATGGTTTGGATGGTTCTGAAGTTTGTGATGGAAGGATATGTATCTGGATTGGACCAGGTCAGAAACATAAGGAACATTAAGGTCGTTATGGATGATTTTGTTTTTGACAAAGTAAGGAGCAGTGAGGATTTTGGATTGTAAGGATTGGATACGAGAGGAATTAGATGGCTTAGCCCCAGAGCTCAACTCCGTAAGTCCAAATAGGTCTTATTGTAGTCATGTATATGAGTCTTTTGTAATTGACTGGGAGCTTCGAGCGTTTGTCTAGTAAGTGCTGGAGTAGTCGGAAACGTCGAGCTGTTTCTTGTCGTTTCAGTCTGGTATGAGGATTCCAAGTTAGACATTTGTCTAAGTGGAGTCCAAGGTATCGAATTTGTTCAACAGGGATAAGTGGGGTATTATTAAAGGATACTGTAGGACAAGAGGACATAGGTTTACGACGAAGGGTAAAGGTGATTTGATGGGATTTATTGGAATTTATTTTATTAAACTTATGTTGACCACGAACACTCTTTTAAACAACATTTTTCGGGATAGAGGAGGGGCTCCACCCAATCCTATGCATTTTACATTGATATGTTAATTACTTGTTAATCGTCAGTAAATACAAAACGCCTTAACCATGTAGGAGTTTAAAACCAACACTAATTTCATCTTTACTTAGGTAACCATTGTAGATTTTGTTATTAATTTTAATGTCTTGTATTCATCTTTTGATTTGTTCCATGGCCGCCACTTGGCGCCACCGGCGAAATTTTTTAAGCGTTCATCATACCGTTCCGAATCGGACACCAGCCAATGAAAAATTTCGAATCCTTGTCTTATTCTGATTTTGGTAAAGACAGTGTTATTATGTTGAGGTTAGAAGTGTTAATTTTTACTTATTGTGTATACAAGTCTAAACTAAGAAGAAAAAGAATGAGTCACTTAGTTGTATGAGGATAGAAATAGCACTGTTTTTAAGAATATTACGTATTCTCCATCATATATAGTTTTTATAAAATTGCTATTCTGCACAGAACATATTCACATGATTTTTTTTTCTGGTTACCATATCACCTTTAACGTTCTTCCATTCTACCAGCGTAACACGTGCAACTGTTAGAGAACCCAAATCTCGAGAGGGTTCAAGATATTAGCAAAACATCTGTGGCAAAAATGAGAAATAGATTAGAATATTTAATTATAATTGGATCCAATTAATTTTTTTTTATTATCGCCTTGACAATCTGTCATTATTATTTGTAAAGATTAATAAACACAATAATGGCTGTTGACAATAAGATGTTTATTTAATAATCAAGATTCAAATCATTGTACTAGGAACAGACTTCTGATTGACAATGTGAATTTTAAGAAATAATGGAGATTATATAATTCGAATATTAATTGTGAGAAAAACAGCGACGGTTCAAAGAATGTTTCATCGAAGTTAGACGACTGTAATATTTTCTCTTTTGACAATTATGTAATGACTGTCCTTGTATGAATATTAAATACTATTTCTCATTTAATAATGCCATAAATTATTATCGTGGAAAACCAGTCGTAATATAACATGAAGACATTTCAGAATGAGTGTGTTCTATTAATTTCTTTACATCGAATCTTTCGAGCATCTATCGAGCATAGGCCAGGATCGGAACTAGTGTCGTGCGAAAGAATTTACGAGGCGAAAAATTTCAAACAAGATTTCATATCTTTTGGCATTAATCGAGTCATTAAAATGAGTTAACGGTCTGAAATATTGGTGTTTATTTTTAAATATATAACCTACACTATTTAGTTTAAAACTCAAAAGATAAACGATTAGGTTTAAAATAAATTCTGACGTTTAAATTATAACTGTTTTAATACCATCTTTATGAACTATTTAATGCATACAAATATAATCAATATATTAAGTATCCAGAAAGACCTAAATAATATAGAACTTGTTTTTCTTGAACAATTTAAATATAATCGTTTTTAAAAATAACAGAAACGCTCATGTTTATTCTGTACTGTTCTCATGATGTTTAAATGGTCATCGCCTTTGTCATCATTCCGACTTCCTTGTAAATGTAATAAATTTGGAAGAATAAAAAATAATAATAATAATTGAAACATAATTCAAACATGCTTAATTTTTTTAAATTATAATCTTCAGAGAATAATGTGGTGAAAACATCATAAAACACAACAATATTAGAATTTTAAAATAAGGATTTATCTTCAACAGAGAATGTCGATTTTTAAAAACAAAATAATAATTATGCTTGAACCTGTAGTTTCATTTCTGTAAATATTAAAATCTATATATTTAAACATTCATTTACCCAAATTTTGTTTATGTCTTTCTAATCTTCAATATTTTCGCTCAATAATGTTAATTTGAATTATTAAATTTATTTTTATTCAGATTTTTAAAAATTTAAATAAATAACACAGTCATAATATCAAACACGCATATAGCTATCGATTTACTTTTTGTTTCATTCGATTAATAATAAGAAAATACATATAAAATGACCCCTATTTAAGTTTTATAGACGCATGTCTAAGGTGGGCGAAGTTGTTTTCCGAAAATAAATTGTTTTGCCCCACTGAGAGTCGGTCCAAATTGTACCCATACTTCTATCCATCTGCCACATAAAATATTTATTACAAACCGGTGTGGTATCTAGATTAAATAATATTTGTTTGCTCCATTGGAAAGAACGCTGGGACACATGTCTAATATTTTTCGATGTAGTAACATCAAAAAAATGGTTAAAATCGGTGACCCACAAACTGCATCTTCTCCTTGTTAGTAGATTTACCCTTAAAATAATTAAAGGTTTTCAATATAATGGAAGTATTGTTGTAACATACATACTTTTAAGAAAAGGCTGTTAAAAAAAAAAAAAAACATTAAAAAATACAATGAAATTATAGAAGTATACATCTTCCACTCTATTTTTACTTCAAGTATAAAGATCGTTCGTAAAAAGTTCGTTGTCCTATATTTCAAGAAATCTCTCGTTGTTGTTCCCGAATTTCCTATAATTATGAATTATGTAACAGCATTATTTTCCTTTCATTAACGGAAAGTGTGGTCTTTTTTTGAAACTAAGAAAAATCAAATATATATCATCGTTGTCAGCATTTGATGTTATTATAAAAACCTTGTATTTGTTTCTGTCATGATTACTTTTACAAATAAATAAATTATATTTATATAAAAAGTATCATAAAAAAAACTAAGGTTTGTGCTTTAGACCACGCGATAGAAGTGAAAACATCAACAAGGCGAGATTAATAATATGAAATATAAATTATAAATAATAGCTCATTACAAAGAGGATGAAATGCTGATACATTTCCCTCGCTTTAGTATGCAGGTCCGATTTTTAGTTTATGAGATATTTTAATGCATATCTTTAATAAAACTCGTTATCATTTGGTTTTCGATACTATTTTTCCCTCTTTCCCTCTCTAACACGGCGTCGCGTTAATATACAATTTTGAATAATAAAATTCAATAATCGGAGATCTGACGACTCAATTTAATTCACTCTCCACAAAATAAGTGCAAAATGCGCCTAAAGATGTTTTCACTTCAAAAAGTCTGAAGGTATGAAACAACCTGATCTCAACAGTACTATAGAAACAACAATGATATGCAATTTACAATTTTCTTTCGGAAACTTTGTTCATACAGTTGTCAATAGAAGGCATTGTTCTTCAATCTAGAAAAAACTTTCCTTATCTAGTAAAGGTAGGAAAGTAAAAAAAAAAGTGGATGGATAACAGTAAAATATTTTTGTATGAACTAGTAATCATAGTTTAGGTTTACTACATAATCTTTCCAGGGCCTTATTGATGATATCCATTTCTTATTAATGATCAAAAAAGCTGTTTCGGAGTTCCTAATTTTAGCTCGAAACATTGAATAATTTTCCTGAAATCTAATTTTTAGTTTGCATGCTAAACCAAGTAAATGCTTTTCTTGTGGAATAGTTGTTAAAAACATCGTTTATTTTTCTCAATACCTCTGTTTATTATGTTTTAAATAACATCAGGTTTCTACCGGAAACACAATTATTATCGCTGTTCTTAAAGATGAAGAAGAAGGGAATTGGAGAATTGATAACCCGGACCACTGACAGGGATGATTGGGGAGGCGTTGTGGAGAACAAGGCCCTTGAAGGGCTGTAGAGCCACGGAAGTAAGGAAGTAAGTAAAAATTCTGATAAAACAGAGGCAAAAATAAACAACATATATTTGTTTGAAATTGGTCCATAAATTTGTTGAAAATTGAAGTTGGTCCTATTGGAACGAATGCCAGGACATATTTAAAATATTTTTCGATATTGTAACACCGAAAAAAAATGGTTGAAATCCATGACCAACTGACTGTAATCTCCTCTTATTGGAGATTTCAATTTTATGAAATGTTACTTTATAACTTTTATCCATAAATTGCCAATATATTGCATACTTATTTCATATTACAAGTAGTTGACTTATTTTAGTTTTTGTCGATAAAAAAAACTAGCAATTAAATGGTTTAATAAAATGTTTCTGCTCGGAGAAATCAGCTATGACTAGTGTTGCCCGAAATCGGTCTTGGTTTTGCGCTTTGCAAGACCAAGACCAAGGCCGCCTAACTGTTGCAAGACCAAGACCAGGATTGGTAAAAAAAATGGATTTTTAAAATAAAAATTAAGGGAAAATAGCTACTAATGCTTGACAATCTTAGTTACTATATGCTAATAATTGGTATAACCAATATACTTTTGCATTTAACTCCTCTAATATTTCATTCGGGCTTAGTTAGGTCTTCTTATCTAAAAAAATACAGTAATATCTCTATAGTAATAAGCTAATAAGTAACTGCAAGACTGTTGCGCAAGACCAAGACCATGACCAAGACTGAGTTTGCAAGATTAAGACTCGGTCTCGCATTTGGGCAACACTAGCTATAACTGCTATTTTAAATAAATTGCTCGTCGCGATGTAATCTAAGGTGATGTAATTTTTATTTATAGTTTACGACTGAAGAAGTGGCGATTTCATAGGATTTCTTTTAATCCTTTTATTTCGATACAATGTTTCAAGGATTGTGATTTGGGACTGATAAGTTCGGGAAACGATTTTCTGCAAGCGAAGCAACTGTAAAATCGATCAAAGCAAGGTATAACAAAAAGAATCAATCTCTAAAATTTTATAGGCCATGAAATCAACGAATAATATTACTCTTTTCAACGTGTCCTGTATTAAGACTATCTATTCGTTCCTATACAGGTTGTAATTTATTAAATATTCTTATCTCGATCATAAATCAGGCAAGCGACATAAGCTTTTCGAATGTCGTGTAAATAATAAATCTAGTTTTTAAATCAATACAATTAGAATTGTTTCTAAGTATGGAACTATATTATATATTTTGATTGAAATATGGTGAAAAAAATATCAAAGATTAATTTATTTATTGATTGTAAAGAGGATCTGTGAGCATAACAGATACATAGCTGCGGTAATGTGTCCCATATACTCATAAAGAGCATGATTATGTATGATAAAAACAAGATTTAATGTTTAAATTATTTTGTTTATAACATTTTTATCTCAAATTTCTTATATATGTGAAAGATATAGTAAAGGCAAATATTGCATTCATGACCAATTTCAATTTCTGTGGTTCTGTGGTTACTTGAGTGCAAACAAAAAATTCCTCCAAAATGTTTATGTGTTAAAGTATGTGAGATCAATCTTGGTCAAAAACGGAGTCAAATGAAACTGAAATTATAATATGTGTATGCTCGAGGGTTTAGAGCAACTTTTACTCTAAAATCTCCTAACTGGAAGTGGCATTTTATGTCATAGATTTTATACATTTTTATCTACGGTTGGTTCAAAAGATTTATGCCAATGTACAATGAGATAGATTTTAATATGAAGTAGGTCTTATTCTTATTGGAATTGTCTAAGAGATCTTAAATGCCTATGCAAAAAAGGCTTCTCCTGGAGTGTCTTGAATTCTTTTTATTTGAAATAATTATGAGTCTCTCGCGGATGGGAATAAATGATTAATAAAAATGGATCAATATGACCAATGAAATGATTTGATAATTACCTAAAGGAGAAAAAAAAAAGGTAAGCATTTTCTCAGATTGAAAACAAATATCGGCAAATAAAGAATAAATATATGCATAATACATCGTTGGAAAGTTAAAGATTTTAGAAATATTCATATCTAACATAAGTCGTAAAAGGTAATGGAGAATAAGAAAAACGACCTTCCCAATGTAGTAAGCATAAGTTTGGTTCTAGCCCTAGAACAATTTCCGAATGTCCAAAATGGCGAGAAGTGTAATCCAAAAAAAAAAAAGGTGTGTTGATCAATATTCTAAAAGATTAGAACTAAGAGTTGATAGATTGAATTTTCCATGTAATTCCAAAGTTTTTCTTCTACATATTGTTCTTAAATTCAAATTTAATATTTTAGATTTATATATTATCTTTAATAACCAATGATTTCGCAGTAGAGTTACTTTTAAGTGGAAACCGAAAATTGAGAACATTCTTACACGGGAAGCGGGTAGAAGTTCTTCATACAACGGTCAGACGCCTTCATTATCAAAACATTTTCGAGGTCAATAGATTTCAAAGTCAATGAAATAATTTATCATATTACATAAAACCAAACTTCTAATCAGTCACCAAAATGGCACTTGAGAATCTTTTCAGCTCTCAATTGCTAGGTTTCGCTTCACGTGATTTTACGCATCCGATCTTCGTTAGTGTCTTTTAAGAGTCCTGTGATAGTTACGAGTATTCGTACCGGATAACGTGTTACAGTTACATAACATGACATAACACTTAAGACTCTTCTGATAGGCATGATATAACTATCGTTTGTTTAACCGTTTGTTCACTCTTGTCTTTCAAGTCGTTAGTTATGTTGTATGTAGATAATTTTGTTCATTAAATTAGCAAAACTCACAGGGGGAAGGAGAGGCTTTTGGGTTGAAGCCCCCTCCCCCTAAAATGGTAAAATGTATCCTTGTTTTATGTAAAAAAATATTAAAAAATTATCTCTTAAAGTATTACTGTTCTAGTAATTACATTTAATAGGACTTCAAGTATCATTTAAACAACATTTCATATAGGTAGTTAGTTTCTTTTCTCTTTTTCCATAGTAAAAAAAAACCTATTGGCCTGAATCCCTCCTCAAAATTAAATCCTGGATCCGCTAGTGACAGAAATTGAAACTAGTGATGTATTTAGTCGTTTATTCCCAAAGTGAAAGCTAATCATTTTGAACGATCTTTCAAGAAACACGAAAAACTATATTTTCTGTATCAATTGTAATATCAAAACCAATTATTAAAAGAGAATAAATTTAGAAATTCTTTATTTGTAGAAAAAAATATATGAATATTGCTGATCATTTCAGTAACAATTAAAAAACATTGAAAGTTAAATAGGGTCTCTTTTGGTAATAATTTAATTTCAAAAGAAAAAAAAGGTTGATTGGAATTTGTTTTGGAGAAAAAAATGGTGGTTCATGGAAAAAGTTACAAAAATAGTACTATAAAATAACTTTATTTTTAATTTTCTTCAGAATATAATGCTTAAAAATGATCTTAATGAATTTTTTTTTTTTTAAGAATTCTTAAGAAATGTATGTCATTATATTTCATGAAAAAGAGGTCGATTTTGGAAATAAAATTATTTTCACATCACTTTTTAAATATTTAGGTTCATTTTTTAAAAAAATAATAAATAATTGTATCATCGGATTCATTGGGTGTTTTTACATTGGAATAAATACTTATTTCAATTACCAAAAAAATTTATTGAGGTTCTCTTTGGAAATAAGTAACTCAATTATAACATCATGACAGCAGAGGAATTTTTTTTCGGTTACTTGACAAAAAAATATTCCTTTTTAAAGAAACAATTCTTTTCCACAATCCAGAGCTTGAAATCAAATTTTAACTTTTATTTTTAAAAAGTTTTAGTATGGCTTTTAATTTTTTTATGATATATCGAAATTAGAACTTTTCCTCTTGTTGATACTTTTCATATATAGGTTTTACTAAGTTTTATCTAACAAAAAAAAAAGAAAATTAATGTTCTGATGAAGTCTGTTCTGTTCTGATTTGTTTTACCAAAATTTTAATCTAAAAACGTTAACTGAGACAAAACATTCTTTCTTAAATTCTTCCACAGGAACTGCTAAAATGGAATTATTTGAAGTAGTTTCATAAACGTTTCAAATCCTGGTTCAAACCAATTGACTGGTCATTCCCATTGATGTATTTTAGTAAAAATGAAAAAAAAAATAAAGATTTTATAACATAGTAATTTTGAAATGAAATTTTCAAAACAAATATTTTTTTTTTTAATACATACTTTATTAATATAATAATAACAATTTGTATACCATGAAGTATTCGCTTGAAACTCAGTTTCAGTATCTGTGATTTAAAGAAATCTATGAGTAGTGGAACATAAAGATAATGATAGCTTCTATAGAATTAAACCATACATAAATATTTTATGTAACTTAATTGTTTAAGTTACTTAATTAAAAGGTAATTAAAATGTAATTTAATTGAACAAGATAACAGCTGTAACAATCCTGTAGAGGATTTGTGAATTCTACATCTTGCAAACATCAATGTTGTTTTAGACAATCGCTACTGAATTACTAGATGCAAATAAGTATAGGCAAATCCTTATTAAATAGAACACCCAATGCCTTTCGGCAAATTTAATATACCAAACAAATGAGCATCTAATGTCAAGCAGGAATGTCCTAAAGAGTGTGACATGGGATATGGCATTATTACAGGGTTTTGAATTTTTTTTTTTTTTTTGGAGAGGAGCACATTTTAACAGTGTTTTTTTCAGGAACCATATTTTTGTAGTGTTTCAAGATGGGAATTTTAGACCAGGTAACGAGGAAAAAATATCGAACAGACTACAGCAATTTTAACTGTACATAAACTACAATTTTTATAATTCCATTTTCGCCTGTACAATTTTTAAGAAGAGGAAAACAATAAAATTTCTTAAGAATAGATGGATTCCCCTGATGTCAACGGTTAAACAAAATTATTTGGCATTTCATAATACTTCTCCTTAATACCTGTAAAAAAATATATCAACAATAAAAAATCTTATCTTTTAAATTTATATCTTACATTTGCAGTAATTTGACATTAAATAAAATACACCAGTAATTGATAATCTGGTTTTGAAAATCTCCTTAGTGATTCTAAAATCTTCATATATTGCCTTGTTTTGAAATTTGACATTTTTGGGGAAAATGATAATATTGCTGCTTCTTACTTTCTTTGTCTAATACATATGAGACATTAATCATATCTGTGACCTGTGTTCTTTTAATAAAACCCTAAATCCAGAAACTAAGAATAGAAATTAAAAAAAAAAAAAAATACAATATAAATATATTTTTTAATTTATTATTACTATTAATAACTATATTGTTATTGTGTTTTTTTTTTTTTAAAAGCTTGATTTTCACTTATAATTTGGTTAAATTTTTTTTTCCTCATTTTATATGTAACAAGCTTCTAACTAAATTTTGATATATTTGTGAGAAATACAATAAAATTGAGCATAAAATTTGAATAATAAAAAATTAAACAATAGAATGACTCAGCATATGGCTGATTTACTGATCGGTTCTAATCGATAATATTTAATGAGACAGAACTAAAATGATAAGGTTTTATGGGACTATTATCCAAAGAACCTAATGTTATAATTCATTTATTATTTGTTATAATTTACTCTTCATTTTCACTTCTGTCCCTTGAGTTCATAATGAAGCAGTCAGAATTAATACAGGTGATAGTGCAGGTTTCCTAGTGAATCTAAAATATTAGATTCCGCCATAATCTGCAGATGGCTTCTAAAAATCAAAAATATAAATCTATTAAGTCAAAGGTTATATATTTTAAATTTAATCAATTTGAAAAGTTAAATCACATCTGTTTAATGTGGAAAAAATTATTAAATTTTATTAATAACAAAAATCTTTCAGCATATCAAATTTAGAAACATTATTTTTCTTAAAATTAAAGTTTACCATTTATGATATAGTCAAACGAAGGTAGTGAAACGATAACAGCCACTAAATATACAACTATCACATTTTCTGACTGTTTTATTTTAAATCTCAATTGATCACAGTAAAACACACAGAAATTAATCTAATTACATTTATATTATTTATAGTTTATCGTAAAATATTAATTGATATTTGAACAGATATTTAGTGAAATAATATAATTTTGGTATCCTTGTACACTGAATAGAGCAAATATATATGATTAAATTTACAATATGATTCTTTTAGAAATAAACAAAGAAAAAAGTGATGGAGATTTGTAATGCATTTTTATAAAGGAGAAAACATATAAACTAACTCAGAACGATTTGGATATTAGAATTAAAAATTAATTTTTAATCTTTTAAGTTCAATAGCAGAGGTAAATTGGTGCAAACTATGTTTTTTTACTGTGATTGTTATAATTTTTGTATTTAATAGTATTTTTTTAATATTAAATTATATTATATTTTAGTAGTAATGTGAATAGAAATTATAATAAAAATGTAAAAGTTTTATGTTAAATAAATGTGGAAATAATAATAAAAAAAATCATTTTTTTGAAAAATACAAAGTCTACACAATATTAAATTTGAAAATACCAATAAACAAAATATAATTTCATACTAATCATTGATGTGGAAAAATCTAGCAATTCCATCACGTAGTGCTATCTAGTGGCATTAAGTAAAAGCTCTGCCATCAAGGTGTTTTTATCATTTCAAAATTATTTTCAGGTTTTTATTCACATTTAAAATAGGTAAATATTATTCATCTATTTCATCATGAAATTTATTATTTAACAAGGAAAGATTTGATTAGTTATAAAGATATATAATAACAATCGTTTTTATAAAAGAAATTTGATTTTTTAACTGATTTTCATTGCTAATTAATTAATTTACTAAAAATATGTTTGCTACTTATTCAGTACTAATTTATATATAAAATGCATGTAGGTAATTAGAAATAATTACTGTATAATGGTGAAATATAGACATTTGTAAATTGATAGTTTATAAAATTACAATTGTTATTCTTTATATATTTATTTAAATGTATGAATTTTTATCTATAATAACATCTAGAATTGTGTATCATATGTAATGACAATGGCTCGTAGGTTCATGACTTCATAGTATATGAATGAATGTAATATAGTGTTATTGTGAATGAACATAATAGAATTTCTCATCTTCTATACTGTATTTCTAAATGGTGTTATTTCAATTTTTTTTTATCCATCAGGGCTTTAGTAACAAATGTACATTTCATTATCATACTGACTGATTCATACATATAAACTCTTTATACAAAAATATTTCATTTTTAACAATTCCAGATTATGATTATAAATTAGATCATGTTTATTTATCATATTATTGATTCATCAAACATCATTTTTTTTTTTTTAATAGGTGTGTGTTGAATGTATTTAAACGATATTTTTATCAATGGCTTTTTAATTTTTAATTTTCATGCACTACCTAGAATGCTCTTCCATTTCACAAACAATGCATACACAAAAGTTTGGGAACTCCCTCACTAGAAAGGCAAACCTCCATAGCAAAAGATAAGAAAATAAGGTAAATAATGAGTAATATTAGCATGGTATTTGAAGGATATTATCAGAACATTCCTAAAACAAAGTCTTAAATCTCTGAAATATTGGTCAATAATTAACCATTCAATGTATTGCAAATTCAGACATCATCAGTACAGTTGATGATAACATTACATTAATGCAAACCATGGGGAGAGTGGTCATCAAAATTTTTGAAGGGGCAGATTTTTACCGGGTTTTGAATTTTTGAGGAGGCAAATATCGACGGTGTTATGAATCGGAGAGAATTGTATTTTTTATGGGGTTTTAATTAAGAGGAGCTTTAAAACCAGGAAACAAGGGGAAAAAAGTGGAAAACCTACAAGAAGTCGGGGAGGCCAAACAGGCTAATGTTTGTTTGCACACTCTACAGCAATTTGGCAACCTGATAAACTGAAGATTATGAGTCGGAGTCCTGGTGCTGGGAGCTTTTAACTTTGACATTGGATCCCCTGCCCTCTCCCCTTATAGTCCAGTAAAGTTAAGGAGAAAAAAGCTTTACTCCGAAATTCAAAAATAAAAATAAAATTCAAAGACTTGTCAGAAATTGTTTAATACCTTCCCAATAATAACTGGTAAAAGTCCCAAAGAATCTCGCGTCGGGTTTTGATGGCGGAAGGGGAGGAAATACAGAAAAAAATTATTTTTTTAATAATATCCCAAAAACTGTGAGATTTTTAGCAAAGATTAATCAGTATAATATTAAAGTAATTTAAAATTTTTATAAGAATGTTTCTATACATTTTTTGATAAAATTTATGGTTAGGGAGATATTTATGGAATTATATTTACTGTATTTCCACAAAAATTGCTTCTAACCACAAAATTGATGTTGTTCATAGTAAACGATACCTTTTTGAAGTTTAATTAATTTTGTAACGTTTTCGATCCTTCAAATTATTATTCAAAATTTCTTTCTTTTAATGATTCTAAAAAGGCATTGACAGTCATTGGGTTTTCCAGCAGAATTCCACTCCAGCTCACAAGGCCAGGTCAACTCAACAATGGCTGCAAAATAACATTCCAGAGTTCATCTCATCCTCGGATTAGTTCTCAGGAAGCCCTGATCTCAACTCACTAGATTTTTGGCTTTGGTCCGAACTGAAGAGAATGGCATGCACAGAGCACATCTTAACTTGGAAAGCCTCAAACAGTCTCTGGTCTGAGCAGTTGAGCGCTTTCCTCAAGAAGTGCTGCATGCAGCTATTGATGAATGACTGTGGAGATTAAATGCCTGTGTCAAGGCAAAAGGGGTACATTTTGAGTCATTTAATTTTTCCTTTACTCTCTATAGATATACATTTTATTTTATAATAAAGTTTTTGAAAAAAATAATTTTTCTGTTGAAATCTGTATATATTTCCTTGTAACAATATTTACGACAGGACTAGATATAAAGGAGAAATATGGTTTGCTTCCTTAAATTCAGAATCACCCCCATACCAGACTGAAACGACTAGAAACCGCCCGGTGTTTTCGACTACTGCAGCACTTACTAGACAAACGCTCTAAGCTCACAATCAATTACAAACGACTCATATATATGACAATAATAAGACCTATTTGGACTTACGGAATTGAGCTTTGGGGCTCCACTAAACCATCGAATTCCTCTCGTATCCAATCCTTACAATCCAAAATCCTTCGTAAAATCCTCAACGCTCCTTACTTTGTCACAAATAAAATCATCCATAAAGACCTTAATGTTCCATATGTTTCCGATTTGGCTCAATCCAGATACCTATCCTTCCATAACAAACTGCATAACCATCCGAATCCTCTCGTTTTAAACCTTTCTTCCTCCTCGATCCCTGATAATCCTCCGAGGCGTCTGAAAAGAGATGGCCTCGGTATCTTCTAATGTAGAACTTTAATTTGAGTTCTACCAATGGGTAGTTTCTCTTCATGTTGTACATGTCATTTTACCAATGTCACTTATTGTATTTTCCACGTAATACAGTTGTAAATTTCAATAAAATAAAAAAAATAAAAAAAATCGGAATCAATGAGTTATGTATATGCTGAGTCGTGAACAACGTTTGCTTTAGATATAATTGATAATGTTCTCAATTTAGGTAGTTATTACTAATTAATATTTTTGTTTGACAGGTTAAATACAATTTTGTGCTCAGCATCAAAATTCCCACTCACGTTTTACGTTTATATACCAAGGAATAAATTTATCTGTTTGCACAAGTTGTTTTAAATGAATATGTATTATCGCATATAATTTTTACTTTCAATTTCATATATATAAAATTCCTATAACTACTCGAAGTAGAATGGCAAGTGAAAGTTGTACGATGTGCGCACGGACCAGATTTTTCGTATTTCAAACATATTTCGTTTCAACGATTCGTTTCGATGATTATAGATTTAGGACGTGGAGTATAAATTTTCTGGTTAACTAGACCGATTGTGGTGAAGTATCCCAAGCCCCGTCCTATTCCTGGAAGAGTATAGACGGTAGCTATTGGAGCATAGACTTGTCCAGTGGGTTAGGATAACAATGGCAACCTATTACCCCGACAGCCAGCTGTGCCTGGACCCTTTGTACGGCCTAATGACCAGTCCTCACAAATAGCCATATTATTGACTCCTGTCCTTATTGACTCCTGGCTCAGGTAGTCGGCTTTACCTTCCCTCGCACCTGGAGTCTCTGGGACGACTTCATCGCCACTTCTCGAGGGTCGGTGTCTTCTGAGCTGTCCGGTAGTCTTCTGTTCCTTTATGGATACGTCTCTCTTAAAAGCTATTTCTAAAACCATCTTATAGCAGTTATACTATGGAGATGTTTTCTTTTCAAGATGATAGAATAAGTACCTTCATATCTCATTAGTAAGTGATCCAAAATCATTTAAACGTGCTGTGACCCGATAAATGCACTTGAATTTACATATAGCAGAGTCCGACTAATCTGGAAATTTGGTTAATCTAACCAGAACTAAAAGAAAACTATGGCGTGTGCTTAACACATATTCATCATTTCGCAATCATCAACAGCCAAATGACGATTCGTCATTTGTATATTACAGAAAACAACGGCTTTTTTTTTTTTTTTTTTTTATTTAAGACGTGAAACTCAACTTCATCAACAGCTGTAAAATACCATTGTTTGTCTCTGACTTAAATTTAATTGATTCTTGTTCTTTTAATACTAAATAAATTATAAAGAGACTGGCGGTACTGGCGATAGCAATGAAAACAACAAAAACGAATTTATTATTTTAACGGATAGTTGAACACAAATATTTATATTGACTTCTACAAATTGGTTTCTGAATTCTTCAAGCTATTTATATTTTGAGATATTTTATTTTAAATGTTCAAAATAGTCGTTATTATTTGTTTTTTTGACGCTACCTATCCCCTTTCTGCCTCTATAACTCCACGTCACGTCAAAATACAGTTTTGAATTATAGCTCATTATTAAAAGGGTGAATTGCTGAAAATTTCTCCCACTTACAAAATACAGGTCTGAACTATAGTTCTTGAGATTTTTTTTTTAACCAAATGTTCAAAAAAATTCAATATCGTTTTCCCTTTCTATCTCTAACTCGTCGCACCAAGTATCTTGGTTTCAGCAAAAATAACTTCGATTAATTATTACAAAGCTTTGATAATTTTTCTGTGATCAGGGGTGTGTTGTGATAAATTAATTATGAAAATACATTTTTAGTTTTTCAAAAAGAATGCAAAAATAAATAATGTTTTTGCTAAAATTTATCATCTAAAGTGATAATGAATCAGTGTTTTTTACAGATATCTCAATTTAATTAACATGAACATATAGCTAATTCGACAATGAAAGTTTCCTAAAGGTGGGGAATCTGTAGTCCAATTAGAAGTTGATAAAAATAATTGTGAACAATTCAGGATTATATAAAAAATATAATCTGGTATTTAAGCAGTAGCTGCTTAAATGTTGTTAATAAAAGAAAAAAAATCTACTTGTATTAGAATTACATTTTGCCTAATTTTCTAGAATTACATTTCTGTAAATCGATTCCTAATTACTTAAAGTAAATATTTTTATAGTTACGCTTCCTATTCATGTAAGAGCTTGACTCTTAAAAGTTGAAACTTTTAGTAGTTCTTGAGTTTTATTACCAACACTATAAATATATACCTGTATATATGAACCTGTTTTCATTGATCTCAAAATACCCATACAATAAGCTTCAACTATATTATTCTCCTTTCGAAAGCCAGTTGACTCCTTTAATTAACAAGAGGTGTTCTTCAGGACTCCTCACTCTCCCCGACCCTTTTCCCGATATATATTAACGATCTTCCTGACACCATTCATCACCCCCTTTACCAATTATATGCTGATGATTTCCAAATTTACCAATTTTTCCAACTTACTGAGATGCCTGAGGCTACTCGAAAGCTACAAGAGGATTTCGACTGTATTAACAAATTGGCAGAAATAAATATGTTGAAGTTGAATGCAAAAAAAATAATTGTCCTGGAGTCAGGGCCGAAAAACGACCTCATCGCAGGCGAAGGTTTGAATGTAAATTATAAAAGTGTATAACATTTTAATCAAAAAGAGCTTTGTCTGCCATTAAAAAGCCGCTGCTTTCTAAAATGCCGACCATGCAAAAAGGTTCAAATTTGCCGAAAATGGACCTCATCGTAGGCTAGATGAAACTTAGATAGACGAATCTTTCTACAATGAAGCGCCATTTTGTCTGTCGTTTCTGTGCCCCTGCTTTCCATTGGCAGACATATTTTGAAAAATTGCAACTTTTTTCTTTTAACTTGTTTATTGAAAAATATTACAATCTGTCTCAAAGGACATTTATATTAGTGTTTAGAGATCAACTTTAGGGTATTACATTTACCAATCTTAGGAGCCTTGAAATTATAACTACAATGAATATGTATGATGAAAGGAAGAAAGAACTTTATCTGCCATGTTTAGGCCGTGGCAATCTACTGGCAAGCTCCCATACTATAATGCTACTCTCATCGGTTCTATACATCTCATTAGTTCCTTTCCTAAATCTGCTCTGCTTTACCTCAATAACCGCCTCAGCCATTTTCTCCTGAAAGTCAAAAATCTAGGAGTATCAGTAAGTTTCTTTGATCAGAACATCGCCATGAATAACCATACCTCACAGATTACCCGGAAACCCATAACTGTCTATAAATAACTCCTAAGATTCCGTGACTCTATTCCTCAAAAAAATTGGCAGCTCCTTGTAACCTCTGTCGTTTTGCCCCTCTTCGACTACGGGGTTGCTTGGTATATGGAGGGCTGTCTGGAAGACTGGATGAGATTGAAGAGACTCATGAATTGTTTCATAAGATACATCTTTGGGGTTCCCAGGCGTTCTCATATTTCCTCCTGGTTAACCGAATTGAAGTGGCTCTATTCTACTTCCTCACAGCAATTCCTTATCGGTGTTTTCCACTTCTTAGTCTTCAGAACCAATAATCCTCTCTACATCCTAGAACTCCTTACTCTACTTTCCTCTATACATTCTCTTAATACTAGATTTCAACCTATTGATATGTATTATATCTTCTCCCATAAAACTATTTCCTTCAGCAAATCCTTAGTGATAAGCGCTATCTCCTATTGGAACTCTATAGCTACCTCCATACATCAATCCTCGTCGATAAATTCTTTCAAATATCTTCTAGTCCATCACTTTATTTTGCAATTGCAATTAACAGTTAATTATCCAGATTAATGAGAATAGTGATCGAACTCTGTTAAAAGTTCTTCGGGGACTATAGTATCAGAATAGAAGATTTCATTTCAGTTTCAAACCTTTCTTTTTAATCGATTGCCGATAACTTTTGGATGTGTTTCAACCACAGGGGGCGGGGTGGCCGAATGGGCTAAAGCGTGTGCACAGCACCGCGAGTTGCCTGGCAACCGGATAACAGATTTGAGAAGATTAAAAAAGTACGAGTTCGCGTCCCGGTGCCGGAGGGGATTTTAAATTCTCCACCCTCACCCCCCGGCCAGGGAAAAGGTCCCGTATAGCCTAAAAAGGCGAGGTAGGGAAGAAAAAAAAAGAAGGTATTTCAACCACTACGGTCATTCACATCTGATTTAGAAAG